AGGTGACTGTATTGGGTTGGATGGCTGGGATTCGTGGCCGTCGGGGGACATAGGGATCGGCGAGGACCAGCTATGGGACGGATGGCGCGCATCGTGCCATGATGCGCGCAAGAGGTCGAAGGGCCGAGGCGATAAACGGAGACGCGGCACCAGGATGTTGAACGCGGGTGACGCGTCATCGTGCGCAGGAGGTAGGCAAGCGGCGGGCGTCGGCGATACGCGCGAGCGGGCAGGCGAGCGCGAGAGGGATGCGGGAGCACTGAGCGTGGGCAACAACCACGCAATTGACGAGGACGCGCGCGAGGATAACGGATGAGGGGATGGGCGCGCGATGGCACGCGAGTGGGACGCACATGCGCGAGACCTAAACCTTGCGGGTTTAGGAGTGCCGGGCGAGGACGGGCACGCGCGGGGAGAAGTTGGCGACCAGCAGGGATGCGCGAAGGATGACGCATGCGCGGACGGACAAGGCCCAGTCCGCGCGGGACTAGGAGAAGCTGGGGCGACGTGGGGGGCGCGCGCGCGCGAAGCCGCGCGCGACAAGGAGTAGGAAACGCGAGAGGAGGTCGTGCGTGGGAGGCGGCCGAGTACTTGGGCGTGTGGTTTGATTTGTTTGGAGTGCAAGCCAAGCAAAATCAAGATCTAGTCAATTTAGGACTTTAGATATTTAGTTTGCTTCTTGCACAATAATATCTAGATTGTATAGGATATTTAATATTTTATTGCTTTAATATGTTTCCTAGGTAGATTAGAATTAGTCATAGTTAGGATCTATAAATAGGGATGATCCCTCATTGTTTTTCATGTCTTGGAATGGAATAGAAAAGAACGTTTGTTCAAAACCGTGTGTTGAGAGTCGTGAGATTCGATCATACAAATCGAATTGGTGAGGCTAAGACCCGAGCCAGTTCAACGATTTAGAGAGGCTAAGACCCGATCTATTTCGAGAGTGTAGCGAGGCTAATACCCGAGTGAACTCAAGTATCGTGAGAGAGTTAGGCTAATAACCGAGTCGATCACACCCATCGTCGAGAGCAAGGCCGTGGCGAAGCCGTGATCGAGACAAGTCGAGGACGCGAACACCCGATCCTTCATCATTGGTGCTTTCATTGAGAGTGATTGATTTGGTGTTCGTGAACTTTTTCTATCCCATTCTTTTTATTTTTTATTTTTTGTTCGAATTTTTTTGAGTCCTTGTGTTCGAATTTTTTCGAATTTTATCCTTAAATTTTCGAAAAATTCGTGAGTATCAAAAAAAAAAAAAGTGTCAACTTGTTAGTCCTTTGTTATTTTGTTCGGTTATTGCCTTTTTGTTGAAGGGGCCGAATTTCTTTTGTTTTTCTTTTCTTTTTGGTCCGACTTTGTCGAATTTTTTAGAGTAAAAAAAAAAAAAAATTATGTCTTACCCACCAATGGACGAGATGGATTGGGAAGATCTCGAATTGTTGGAGAGTTTGGAGAGAGAACTTACCCCATGGGAGAGCACATATCTAGACGAGCTCCATGAACGAAGAAACCGAGAAGAATACGAGCGACAACTCGTAGAAGGCCAAGGAGCAATGTTGGGTGAAGTTTAAAACCGTGAAGATGATGGTGCGCTTAATTTTCTAATCCTTGAGGACAAGGAAAGTCTTGAAGAGGAGGGGAATGATACGGAAGTGGTCATCAACCCGGGCAAGTCCGACGAGGAGGAGGACGATGGTCTCGATATTTGGTTGGAGAACATGTTGGAGGAGCCATCTAGTCCGATTTATCGACCATCATGTAAGAGGGACTGGCCGAAAGGATGTGGCCCACGGGCTAAGTTTAAAGTCAAGAAGCGCCGGGCCAAAAGACGACGCAAATCAAAGGCGCAAAAGGTAAGCCAATGTTGTGGGTCGTGCACTAGGAAGAAACGGACGTGGTGTTCGGAGTCCCAAAGACGAGGAAGGCTAGGAATGGAGGATGGCTGGATATGGCATGCAGGTGACTGTATTGGGTTGGATGGCTGGGATCCCTGGCTGTCGGGGGACATAGGGATCAGCGAGGACCAACTATGGGACGGATGGCGCGCATCGTGCCATGATGCGCGCAAGAGGTCGAAGGGCCGAGGCGATAAACGGAGACGCGGCACCAGGATGTTGAACGCGGGTGACGCGTCATCGTGCGCAGGAGGTAGGCAAGCGGCAGGCATCGGCGATACGCGCGAGCGGGCAGGCGAGCGCGAGAGGGATGCGGGAGCACTGAGCGTGGGCAGCAACCACGCAATTGACGAGGACGCGCGCGAGGATAACGGACGAGGGGATGGGCGCGCGATGGCACGCGAGTGGGACGCACATGCGCGAGACCTAAACCTTGCGGGTTTAGGAGTGCCGGGCGAGGACGGGCACGCGCGGGGAGAAGTTGGCGACCAGCAGGGATGCGCGAAGGATGACGCGTGCGTGGACGGACAAGGCCCAGTCCGCGCGGGACTAGGAGAAGCTGGGGCGACGTGCGGGGCGCGCGCGCGCGAAGCCGCGCGCGACAAGGTGTAGGAAACGCG